TTTCAGCCTAGCCGACTACGCTGTACGCGTTCATAATATTCCGGAAGAAGAACTCTGGGGGTATTTTGCGGATATGGTTGCTGTAAGTTTTATTTTTTTTTGCTTTGTTATAGAATTTGTCCTCGCTTTGTTGGAATGCCTGTAAACTCTTTTTTTACGAGGTAGGCAGTTCATCACCTTCACGAACAGGATTTGCTACACTTGGACATCAAGCCTGAAAATATATTTGTCTCTAAAAATATGTGCAAGTTGGGCGACTTTGGTTTAGTTTACGATTTAAAAGGGGTATAGTTTTATTTATTTACTGTTGCAGCGTGAAACAGTGCGATTGTGAACAGTGCGATTCACTTGGAAAAGTGTAAAATCTAGGAAGTTGTCTCTTTCATTTCTGTAGAAGCTCTTTGAAACTAACTTTTCGTTATCTAGCTTTGATTTGAAAAGGAGGCAAAAATGACTAGTTTTTGTTTTGTTTTTATCGTGTTAAAGTGATTAGGTTTTGGGAACCTGAAAAAGATTGCAAACCATTTTTAATTGTTTCAGGATAGTAATATCAATGCTCAAGATGGGGACAGTAAGTATTTAGCTCAGGAGGTGCTGAATAACCCTCCTGGTAAACCAGCAGATATTTTTTCCCTTGGCATATCTATGCTTGAATTAGCATCTGATCTCGACCTGCCACCACGTGGTGATGGTTGGCATATGTTGCGAGAAGGTCATATTCCGGAAGAGTTTACAAGAGGTTCATGTTTTTTTATTTCTGGTTAAACACGACTTCTGATTTTTAGAAGTAGTTATTGGTATATTCTATTATTGAGGGGTTATGTGGAGGAACGCAAGTGCTTCTTTAGGTATCTCTCCGAAGTTGCGTCGATTAATATTTTTGATGATGGAGCTTAACCCAGAAAAGCGTCCCACAGCGCGTGAGCTGTTCAACGATTCAACTATACAGTACTACCTCAGAAAACGTTATCCGCTGAATTACAGTATGGTGTGTTTTCTGTATTATCCTCCTTGAGGCTTATTTGTGAAATTGGAATTTGTACACTTAATTTTGCTCTCAATTTTTTTTAGCTTCATCTTATATGGAGTTTGAATTTTCTGATGTTTTCTTTTTTTTTTTTTTTTTTTT